CAAACAGAAACCAACAAACAACATTTTGTCGCGTCTCTTGATGCGCGTAAGGTTCTTTATTTAATGCAACTAGATGGATAACTAGTGATTGATTGTAGGTGGTCCGTCTGATGTCAACGGGATCATATTGAGAATGTCCTACTGCAGCACATGTGTTCTTGTGCATTTACTTCAAAGTGGCCCTCTAACACTTTTCACGACTTAGTAGTTCTAAATGCTTTTTTAGCTGGTTGCGTACACTGACGGAATAATAGACAAGTGCCGCAAGAACAGGCAGCGATAGACCATGCAGCGAAAAGTTATTCAGCGTTGAGATATCAAAATACAATGAAATGGATGCTTACTCTCAACTAGATTTTCGCGGGCTCAACTTCCCGTGTTTGCCTCGCCCTCTGACGTCGGAAGGCTGCCCAATGAAATGAACTGAAAGCCCTACCGCACAGGAAGCTCACATGACATATTGCCTGTCACGAACGGTGTGTTACTTCACAACACATCACATCACTTTATTTCCTTAAGGACCCCTCAAGGTGGTATCACATAAGGGGTGGGTGTACAGTGTAGCCAGGTGAATTCACTCGGTAAGAAAGTTTGTTACATTGTCCAATAAGTTTGATGGATTAGTAATGGCTGCAATGGTGTGGGAAACACCATTCCAATTTGTTGCTGCTCGGGGGGAGGGGGGTGAATAGAAAATTTTGAGGGTGCGAGCACGTGGGCATGACACTTGCAGTTCGTCCGCGGCGATGAGGTATGCGCGTAAGGTGAACGATGTAAGTTGGATGACACAGACCACTGCAATAAAATTCGTGGAATAAAGATAGCGTGGCAATACGACGACGAAGACAGGGATTAGACAAACCGGATTCCGCTTTCAATGATGATACGCTTGAAGAGAGCATGACACGTGCGAAACGAGCCAGCTCGTGGACGCTTCTATACATAGTGTTCACGTGATGTCACTTCCGCCATTGTCGCCCTCTCCCGCCATGCCCGGGAACCTCCTTGGGTACCTACGGCAGTTCGCGTGCTGCAGAGTGCTTAGTTGGGAGCTCGTCATTTGTTGCTGTGTACGACGTTGAAAGGAAAGCATTGTGGGTTTTTTGTTGCCGTACTTAAACGAGCTCATCGGATCGGAAAGGCCTCATTTGCTCACTCGATACAAGACCAAAAAATCAAGATGCGCGACACATATACCAGCCACCGCGTACACCGGCTGCCCGGCACGACCTACGAAGGCCCGTTATCTCGGTTTCACTACAAACACTACAAATCGCGTGACCCAAGAACAAGTGAAAGCCCAAAGTCTCTCGAGCCGCAATTTTAAGAGTGGATGAGCGAAGCAGCAGCTACCATCGAAAACGAGTCGTGCAGAGCTAAGCAAGTTTACAAGAGATATAATATTAATATATTGCTGCGGCCTACGCCACTAAAGTAGCAGCCCCTCCCCCCGAGTGCTTTAAACAGCGCTGATGTTGAGCCTCTTTGATTGAAATGTGTGAAAACAGCCAAGGAAAATATTATGCGAGGCAGATAGAGACTTCGCGTGGTGCGTGCCGCGGTGATGCCAGTGATCACTTTTTTTGTTCGCGTATGTTTTGACACCTTTTTCACCTTGTATTTTACTTTTTTTGTAAGCTAACGTAAAGTGGAGTCCCTGAAAATAATGGAGACCGTGTTAGGAATTGACCAATTTTCAAAATCCTGACCCCCGAACTCGAACCGATCGGCTATACTTCAAAGTGAACTAATATTGTTTCACATCCAGTTTCAGTTTGTTTCAATGCAATACCCGAATTTCCGCGATCGTCATCACGATTTCAACCGCCTCCTTGACACTCTGACTGTGCACGCAGTGGTCGCGGACATGTTTGTATGTACAGTATCTTGTTAAGCTATTTCAGTTGGCAAGTAAGTGCTTGGCTATGGCACTTACCCGGAATGAAGTTACACCTGAAGACGCAAATATCACCGAATTTCTTCAAGTAGTTTTTTTTTTTTTTTTTTTGTGAATCCGCGCCCGCCAAACACGCCGGTACTTTTCGGGAAATCGCAATGTGCGTTCTCAATTTTAGGTAATAACGTTTGGCGAAGAGACACCACGAAGCTCTGCTCCCTCTTCGGGGACTACTCAATCAACTTGCCTCACTAGCAGCCCTCAAACTTGCATCGTGAGGCAAAACCAAACGGGCGCAAGCACGAGGAGACAGCACGGCAGCGGTACGCAACGGAGTCGGTAGGTACCCGGTCATGTCGGTGGCGCATTTCAAAAGTGACGAAGGGGCCCTGTGTGACGCACTTGCACACTATGCATAATGTTTTGTAGCTTTACTGATCTTTATCTTTACAATTACGTTTATATATCAACGCTCTTACATTTTTTTCTTTTAGTTTCTTCAAACAATGGCACCCGGAGCATCGCTGGCGCGTTTCGTCCAGAACATGGTGTTCGGCGCACTGTTCTTTAACCAGCTTTGCAGTTTTCAAGCTGGAAAAGTCGGAGAGCTTTATTCCCTGTCGCTTTGAGTAAAAAAAAAAATCATGCTAATGAAAAAAGAAATCCCATATTAATTTCTACTTTGATGCAATGCCGTGATCGCATTTAACGTTATATTTATCCAATCATATGGCGGCAACCTTGAAACGTCATTTCTGCTCGCAGTAGTTCTGGCGAGCGCCACTAAGAGTTATACAGTCGAAACCAATGTTTTCAAGCGTTAAAGAGAGAGAGAAAGATGTAGACTTTATTAATTTCCGGCAGATGGGATGGGCTCCCACATAGGGGCCAACGGAGATACCGTGTCTCCTGGCAGCTTCCTTGGCCTGCTCGATCGCCCAAAGTTGCTTGTCCAGGCCCGAACTGGGCAGCGCAGTCCGCAAATGCGCCCGAAGGTTTTCATTGGAGGCCGCGACACCAGAATTGCTGACTAATGCTGGGCATTACCATAGGATATGGTCAAGAGTGGCTCTGGTGGTACAATACTGGCATAGATTCGAACAACAGACGTCGGGATATTTGTGGTGCATGATGACGGGGTTCGTGTATGTGCATGTTTGTGTTGAGTTATGTGGTTAAATTTAGTGAGCCGATTGTCCCATTCCCACACCGGCGCAGAAAAGTCCGTTTTGGTGGCTGCTTCGTCTAACGTGACTCGGAACGTAAGACCTCAAGCCACCTTGTGCGCCACTTCATTCGGACTGTCCTCTAGGTTACCTAGTGGTGTGTGGGCAGGGAACCACAGGATGTGTACGTATTTGTCCACCTCGTGAATTTTGCCTGTACTAAGAATGCGCAATGCTTCGGGGGAGATTCTGCCACTGGCGTAGTTTCGAACGGCTGTCTGCTAGTCGCTGATTACACATGAGGCGTTAGTGTGGACTATGGCCATCGCGATAGCCACTTCCTCTGCCGTTTCTACGTTCCGTGTGACGATTGACGCGCTGCTTTTGCATCGTCGCGTGTGGTCAACGACAGCAGCCACGAAGCGGTGACGTTCCTGGTACCGTGCTGCGTCCACAAAGACTGCCTCGTGGTTGCGCCCAAACATCTTTGACGTGGCTCTGGCTCTACTGACACGCATGTGCATGTTTCTTGGTATATGTGGTACTGTGAGCTTGGCACGGATCGTGCGTGGTATGTCGTGTTTGTCTCCGCGTTGAATGTTAAAGGGCCCCTTTATTTTCTCGGCAAGTAGGGCCCTGTTGTTGATAAAATTGTCGTTTTAGATGTTGTCATACATTGAGCTTTCACTCTGACGTAAATTGACATCACGTGCGTACACATATTTTTACTACACGAAGGAATTAAATTTCAGCAGTTCTTCAGCAACGTGAATAAAATAGAACACGAAGAAATATACGACAGCATCACGTATGTGTTGACAAATTCATTTTATTTGCACAACGCCGTGTCTATGTGTGCTCAAATGATTGCTATATCACAATATAGATTAAAAATTCCTAGAGTATCACTCATGCTGAAAGAATAAAGAGATGCAACAAACATAAGTAAACATTTGTTAATCAACCACAAAAATGAAAAAGTGAGATATGCAAGAAATAATGACTGTAATTCAAGAGCTTAAATGTATGTAAAGGCCGAAGAAAGGAACGTCCTTACTGTGTAACACCTATGAAAAAAAAAAATCAAATAATGCGCACTATACAAGGATTTCCGCAAATATGGGCGAACGCCAATGTCAAATCTAAAAAATAATGAAAAAATAGGGCGAAACAATGAAACACCCCACACAATACCACCCAGAAAAGCAAATTTTGCGTGAATCAATGTAGATTCATACTTGGTTGGCGCAATTGTCTTCAGCCAAAAAATTGAAAATAAAATGGCCGATCTCGTATTGTTGTACTGATCGATTTCTCTATTTTCACCAAAGCATGATTAGGGCTTCGTAGTCACTTCCAGCGTGTTTTATTGCTTTTTCATCACAGTTGAGCTCGTGGTCACTACAAGATGGGTTCAGCTTTTTTTTGTCGTCAAGCACTGCCGCGAAAATATATCTGGCCGTACACGGGATTTTTTGTGTGCGTGACCACCGGAGGCAGGAAAAAGCGTGTCCTCTCCGTCCGGATACAGCAGCAGGCCGTTTTTGTGACAGTTGCAATTTGCGGATAGACACAGCTGGATGCCGATCCTTCAGAAAAACCAGCATTTGCAAACGAATGAATGGCGTAAACATGTGTTGCACATGCGATTAGAATCACGCGATTAGAATCATCAGCCTTAAACTACTTGGGATAGTTTAAAAATTGAGAAAAAAAAAGTTCCAAGACCTCCTAAGCCCTTCTGTACTCCTATCCCGGACGTGGAACAAGAGACTCCACCTGGTGCTCGATGCAGGAGAACACGCACGCGCACATGACTATTGTTCGCGTTTTTTTCGCCAAATTTAGCAGGCAGCGAGGTTGGCCACGCTGATCGGGAAAAAACGATCGAAGCGCCGTCGGTGGGGCGCGGGGTGAAACGGCGTGCTAGCCGGAGAAGGAGGGGGCGACAATCGCGGCGAGTTCTCGCATCGCATCCCGGTGCGTCGGTCGCTTGGTCGTCGTTCTGTGCGCGATAGCTCCCCCTGCCGCATCCTCGAGACAGCAGCCGGCGGCGATTTTTTTGTACCGACCGTGTGCGACTGCTTGTTCCGTCCGGCGAGTGTGAAGGTGTGAGCCATCAACCACTGGATTCTTTATTTCCGGAAAAACGTACACATCGAGTCTCTACTTCTCAGGATTCTAAAGCTCGAGCCCTCAAAAACACCGCAGCGGACGATCCTTCGCAAGAAAAAAAAAAAAAAATCGACCGACCATCTCCCGGCGCTGCTTTTCGACGAACAAAACAGCTTCTCTCTAGGTAAGTGCGCCACTTTTTTTTTGCATATGAAATACTCGCGTTCTTCAAGAGCTTTTCTAAGACGCAAGTCCGATGCGGCCGGGTGTTTTATTCAAGCTCCGGTATCAGATTAGCGGGCAGCGTCTGTTTGCCGGGCTGAAGAGTCACCGGATAGGAGGAGGCAAGATCCGATCCCGTCTCCGAGCCGCCGGTGGTTTTTGTTCGGCGCGCACAAACGGGCAGTCGGCCACAGACACAGGCCAGCGTGCCAGTGCGCTGTTCTAGAGCGTGCAGAAACACTTTACGCGCGCATCGCTCGTTACTACAAAGCCTTTTGTTCGCGCGAAAAATTTTTTGCGGCCCCCGGCATTCCTCGGTCTGAAGGGGAGATCGGTTGCATTACATTCGCTCATTCTAGAAGCCATAGACTTATATTATTCGGAGCCGGGGTAGACGCAAGCAGGCAGGGAGCTGTTAGCTTCAGCCGGAGCTGATTAATAATGGTGGGCCACCAAATGGCAGTGGGAGGAGGCGGTGAAAGTGTGCTAAGCGGCGAGCTGCTGGTTGTGCCGGCGTGCGCAGTTATTCGCACCCGAGCGCACGTTTCGTGTTTTCAACGCGATCTTCTTTTGAAGTCTACAGTCGTCATGGTGTCCCTGTGCTACCGAAGCGGCAGAGAATAGCATCGTTGAAACACAGTTTTTGAAGAGCCCGTACATTTCGTGTTCGGCATGTCGCGGGCTCCGATGCGAGCGGCGTGCCTCCCTTTGCGCCGGTGTAGACGGCCTTCGACGAGTTCGTTGCATCGTGCGTTCAAAAGGAAAACGCGCCGTTCCTTAGTGTTGCGTACACTTCGACATGCAGCTTGGCGATTGCACTGCCCCCGTACCGCTCTCAAACGCTTTTTTTGATGTGAAAACGCACAAGTTTCGAACTTAATCACTGCGCTCGCGCATAGTGGTGGAGAATTCGCTTTGTGGATCGAAGGTAAAACTGAACCAGCGAAACGCACGCTTTCTTTTCCCTTGTTTTTCTTCTTGCGGGGCGTTGAAAAAAAAAGTGCAGCCGGTTATGGTGCCAGCAGAAGAAGCCTCAAACGGAGGCTCCTCCCTTGCAAGAAGTCGCGACGAAGAGTCACAAAACGTGTTTTTGCCGTGGCGGCGCACGATTTTTGCTTTTTTTTTTCCTGCGATGCACGGCCCACCGCCCCTCCCGTCTTAAACGGCGGAACACCACGCGTTTTTGCTGCCGAATGTCCGCGACATCTTTTCTGTGTCCCCGAGTTCTTCATCGCGATTATTCACGCGACCCGTAATTTAAAAAACCCAATCCTACAGCCTCTGCTAGTGTCGATGTGAGTGATTCGTTAGTTCACGCTGTGTTACCGACAGAATGTGCCTATTCTCAAATTTTCGAGCTCCCCAAGACAGGATCTTCCTAAAACGTGAGGCAAATGGTCTGTTTTCTTTTTTTCATTGGTAAACGTTGTTTCAAAGACACACCAAAAGCACACACGTTTGTGTGTGTGTCACAGCGCGCCAATCAGTTTAAGAGAACCCGCTCTCGAATCATATCTCTTGTTCACCCGTGGTACTTGGCACAGCTGAGCTATGAATTCGGCTTTACATCTTTTGAGTTCAAGGATGTGTCGTTGAACCTACTCCAACCAAAACATTCTTGGAATGCCGCACACATTTTTTTTTCGGCGTGCGTTTAGCCTGCATAGGGTTCTGTCTAGCTGTTGTGTCGCCGGCTTTTGTGAAGGTGACGCCCATGGTTTGAATCGATAGAGGAGGGGCCGGCTTCACTGCGTCTAGCTAGGGAAACCGGGGGTGGGGATATGAGCCAGTGGGGCTTCGGCGTGAGTCATAGGTGGTTGAGGGTGGTGTTTTTCGCCGGGCTGTGAGGGGGAATACCCCCCTGGTCGACGACGCATTTGTACGCTTTCATTTGGTTCTATCGTTTTATTTAGTCTCGAATTGTATGGCCAGCCGCTCCCTTGTTGCTCTTTTTGTTTTTTCGTATTTGTCCAATGTCCGTCTGGCGATGGTACTCACGTGATCTTGGCTATTAGAGCACGTCGGCCTTATCAGCGGCTGCTACGCCTTGCCACTGCAAACTCTTTCGTAGGACTGTTTTTCGCCAGTTGGAAAATGGCTAATGATCCAGAGAGTCACTGTACGCCCGACATTGGTATCCATATCGGTTACGGATGCTAAAAATATGCAATGTTAATTAAATGACAGTACCTCTTTTTTTTATCAGCATCTTTTGCACAGCCACAATATTTTTCTGTAGACCACTTGCGCTGCTTTCACTTTTACATGGAACTGTGCCACTTTTGTTTTTCACTGCATTAATCTCTCTGCTGTTGCAACCTATTGTTGGGTTTGATTGATTTTCTGGGATTTAACGTCCCAAAACCACTATTTGATTATGAGAGACGCCGTAGGGGAGGGCTCCGGAAATTTTGACCACCTGGGGTTCTTTAACGTGCACCCAAATCTGAGTACACGGGCCTACAACATTTCCGCCTCCATCGGAGATGCACCTATTGTTGGGTCGACGGTATCAATAAATAAATTAGGAATAATAAACTAACGCGTCCCCCAGCTTTCTTGAGCGCAGGCTTTGGAATAAAAAAAAATGTACACACTAAAGCGCCGCATTTTTCGGTGTCATCCGGTCATTTACTAGGAACAGCAGTTTCCTCGTGCTGTGGCGTTGAAAGGTCATATATGATAAACACCCTTTACATACGGCTTGAAAAGTGCCTCCCTAGCATGTTTGAATCAAGCGCACACAAAAAAGAAATGTTATCAGTAGAGGACAGTGACACGGTTGTAGCGATAACGCCACACGTCTCCCCTTTCGAAAATACAGGCGCATTCAAAGCAACCGCTCCCCCACTTTCACATTTTTTTTTACGAATAGTATTTTTTTTTATGGGGGCAACGCCTTACGAGACGGCGTCGTTTTCTGTTATCTCCGTTCCGAAGAAGTACCGACTTCAGCGTAACTCCCACTTAAAAAAAAAAAAAAATGTGCGAATTTCCACGCATGCGCGGGTCTGTGGGGACCCCGTCATAATGTCATAAAAAGAGATCCAGACACACGGGTTTTCTGATTATGTAAGCTGATTTCACAAGTTCTTAATTGCCGTACCGTTAGTGTGTGGACATCCTTCCCGCCTCAACCCCATCAAGTGTAAGGGAGACCGTCTCTTTTTACAATGTAGCTGTCGTAGTATGCGAAGCTAAGTGAAGCAGATCCATAGTGGTAGATACTAATCTGTTTATTTCGTTTTTTTTATAAAAAGTGAGTAGCCAACTGTTAACCCTAGCAGACAGTAACCGCTTTGAACCTAACCCTCGCCCCTGTCTTAACGGCTTCGTAATGCGTCTTTATGACTAACTAATCTGCTTCTTTTGTACTTCGTAGTTATAGGATAGTTTCCGCTCCGCATCCTTTCTGTCGCAGTTCTTTTTTTTTTTTCATTTGAGACCGTAAAAATGTTGCTCGTTTTCAAACGGTTAATCTTGACACCGCTTCTCAAATCGCTTCTTAACGGTCGTAGAATGCTTTGCGTTGTAACGGACGCAATATTTGCGGTAATTTCAGCTAACTCTAAGGAGAGTGAAGTCCTGTACGCTCACGTTTGATTTACTGCTGTTTATCGACTCTCGATGCAGACTTGTCACTCCAAGCTTCTGATATTTATTTTGCTGTTAATCAATTTTCGTGCAAGTTCAAGTGCTCTAAAATCACGCAATTCGCATTTATTTAACACTCGAGTCAACTTATTCACTTTATGATCACCTCTACTCACTTTGCATATGCGTGCCACATGACTTAACTTTGAATTCAATTTATTGTGGATTTTTTTATTTGAATGTAATGACTTATATCACTAACACTTCATTGACTGTTAAAACCACACTTGGTACACCTTCACCTAACTAATTCACACGCGAATCACATTCCTTCTACTTTTTTTTGTTCTCTTCAGTTCACTTCAATTGATATTTGATTCCCGTTACTCTTTCAATGGCCACGTTTAGACACTTGCATACGCCTACTACAATAATACGTGTTGATTCACGCCTTATTCACCTTTAGTTAACCCTCTCACCCGCGTAATGGGGGTGTGTGTGGGTCAATTCATGCACTACTGGTGTTGTCTACGTTGGACGCCATTTCTTTCTTTGTTCTTTTTTTCGGTAGTCATTCGAGGCTTACGCCTTACAAAGAAAAAAAGGAAACACTGTCCAACTAGCTGAAGTCAATGCAGCTGATGTCGACGTTTCCACCGGGTGCCATTGTCTTTGTCAGGGTAGCGACTCTTTCAAAAACAACGCCTCTTGTTGTGCCCGAACTCGGCGACGTTTTTTTTTAAATTTTGCAACAAACAGATAATTTAGGAGGAAAAGAAGAGTGGCCGCTATTTGTGCAGAATGTTTTTTTTTTTTCTCATCTAGACGTCCATGTGCGAGACATCTTGCACAAATAACGGTTTTCTAAATTATCCGTTTGCAGAAAAGAATGTCGCGGAATTTCTAATCCAAATATCGATGTCTGTCACGGTGGATCAGTGACTAAAGATGCTCAGCCGCTGATCCCAATGTCACGCTTTCGATACCGGCTGCGGCGGTCACATTTCGGTGGAGGCGAGACGGTAGAGGACCCGTCTACTTCGCTAAGTCAGTGTGGCCGACTGGATTAGCCCTATACGCCACCTCCTGTGGCCGACGAGAGCTCTCGCAAGCGGTGCCCCGTCCTCGGGACTCCTGTGACCGCGTTTCCATCTTTCCTGTCTCTCCTATCCCTGCCCCGCCGCGGTGGTCTAGTGGCTAAGGTACTCGGCTGCTGACCCGCAGGGCGCGGGTTCGAATCCCGGCTGCGGCGGCTGCATTTCCGATGGAGGCGGAAATGTTGTAGGCCCGTGTGCTCAGATTTGGGTGCACGTTAAAGAACCTCAGGTGGTCTAAATTTCCGGAGCCCTCCACTACGGCGTCTCTCAT